TGATTTCCTGTTAACTTGATTTGAAGTCCTGTATTACTCCCACTATCTTGTTTTGACTGATTAGACTCTGTTCCGTTCTGTATGATAGCATCAAGTCTGAGCTATAGGCAACTACTTTGAAGGCAATAAGATTCACTATGATGCCCATTCTGGTTTGACTATTATCTTCTTTTGAAGTCCTGTAATGTCTCCAATGTTTAGGTTTTATTGGTTTTGTTCTGTACTGTTTTGTTCAATTTTATTATACCTAATGATATAGGCAATTCTTTTTAAGGAAGCAAGAGGCATTACGGTAACATTGTTGATCACCTTGTATTCTGTTTTTACATCATGTGCTATTAGACACATGTTTGTTTTGACTGACTGCTTTGTTTTGTCATATTTGGTTTTATTCTCTTCCAAAAAAAGTAATAAGAACTATGGGAGTAATAAAACCCAAAATGTGTAAATTTTGTTGTAAAAAAGAGAGGGAAAAAAAAGTGCTCTAAAGGATACAACTGCAAGTGTGTTTAGGTGTGTAAGACAGCTGACCATATTACTGACTTTTGTTGGATCACTGAACACAACTGTCTGCAGTCTCACTGTTTGAATGTCCGCTTAGTATGCTTTAATCCTGTAACTTGAACAACTATTTCTAAGATGACAATATGTAATCTATTAACTAGTTATAAGAATCTCTTTTTTTGTAATTCTGTATTACTTGTACCCTTATACTATTTTGTTTTTTTTTTTCTTTTTTCCTTTAAATAAAAATTTTTAAAAAAATTTTTTAAAAAAGAGGCCACGACTCCCCAGGGCACAAAAGTTTGCATATCAGAAAGCAGGCCACAGCCTCCTAAAACAACTCAGTTGCTGCCTTAATTGGATTATGCAGATCGATCCTTGAGCATTTCCTCATCTCTGCATTTTGCAGAGAGGCTTTTCTCCCACTGGCCAGCCAGCTCAGGTTACTCAGGTAATTCCCGCCACCCTGGCTGTCACAGCCCTGAGCCGTCCCCTCTTCACCAGGTAATGAATGCTGGGAGGCCTGGGATCAGGGCCCCTGTCCCACATCCTCACGGGGAACAGGCCGAGGACCCCTCGGCTGCCCTTAGCTTGGAACATGTCTTGGTGTCCTGACTCTGGCCGTGGAGGTGGTAGATTGGAATTAGCTTGCCGGGATTCCAGTATCGTCTCAGTGGGACTGTAAATATAACCTCTTGGGCTGTGAGGGAGACTTAACAGGGGATTACAATACTTGGATGAGTGTACACGAAATTTGGGATCCCAGTACTCAAGCCTGAACCGCATAGGGAGACCCTGTCTCAAAACGGAACAGACAGACACCCCAAATGCCGTGAGGCAGGCCTGGTTGGTTGCACAGCTCTGCAATCTTAGCTCTTGGTGGTTACAGCAGACGTTCCTGGTCCTTGTGGCTGCATATTGATACCTAGCCCCAAAAGAAATAAAGCTTCTTTAACAAAAGAAAGTCTGGGGATAAAGCTCAGCTGTAGAATAATCACCTGCCTTGGGAGGCCTCAGATGCAACCAGGGACAGACAGACAGACGCCAGGAAAGACCAGAGAGCCTGATGCTTTGGTCAGTTGACTCACAGGTTTTGGCTCGGCTCCAGGCCAAGGACTAACTCAAGGCGGCTTTTAATTTGGGAGACAAAGAAAAAGCAGTCGGTGCAAAGGTAGCTCCCCGGCCACAGAGAGGGGTGTCTCGGGGTCTTCCCAGCAGGACGCCCCGCAGAGGGGACAGCCAGACAGAGCGCGAGGGCGGCCTGGCTCCCCCCGCCCGGGACCCCATCTCTCTCCCTGCCGTGTGGACATGAAGCTGGACTTTCACTTTCTGCCCGACCTTCTGCACAGGCTGTGTTCCCTCCGGGCCGAGGAAGTCTGGAAGAAACCACTTCTCTCTAGCAGCGAAGGCTTACTCTGAGCATCGGCTTTGGCTGGCGGTTGCATGACTCAGCTCACGGATTCTGTGGGAGCAGCCGGCCGAAGGGAGCTCGAAGCTCTGGGCTTGCAGCACACTCCGGCAGGGGGTACCCCGCCCCGAAGTACACGGCAGCTTGGGCGCCGGCTACTCACACGGTCCGCTATCTCTGCTGAGCAGGCCTGGGGCAGAGACGAAGGTGCTTGCTAGAAACGGTTGGCAAATTTGTTTCCTTGCAGTTACACAGCCAGCTCTTTCTTTAGGAAATAAAAGCAACGTGCACCACAGGCTTACTCAAGATTAATAGACGGAATAAAGTGCATTTTTTAAAGCGACGTCATTACCCGGTATGCTGGCACGTATCTGCAGTTTCTGCACTCTGGGAGGCTGAGGCAGGAGAGTCACAGCTTCATGCACAGCCTCAGCAACTCTGCAAGACCTAATTTTGAAATGAAAACCCAAATGGCTGGGGAGACATGGCTCAGTGCTGAGGCACCAGATTCCAATTCAAGTTTTAGAGAAATGAAGATGCCATGATGTCTTCGGAATTTGACTTTATATTTACCTTTCCAGTGAATTTATATTTTCAGTTCTTTTCGTGTTTTTCCTGGGACTGGAACGTAACTCCTTATGCTTTTAAGTCTGAAGCTCACCACTGAGCCGCACCTGCAGCCTGAGGTTTGCTTTTTTGTCTTGTGAGACAGTTGTAGCGGGCTCAGGCTGGACTCCACCCCATCATCCTCCTGCCTCAGCCTCCCACAGCACCGCAGTGACGGGCTTGTCCCACCCCAGGTGGCTCACAAGGGTGAAGCTTTTGAGGGATGCAGAGGGGGGTGGAAACAAAGTGAAAATTGAAGAAAAAAAAGCAAAGCAGAACATGCAAAGATTCAAATTGGCAATAGAAAAATAAATGCTTAAGAAAAATCTCAGTCCAAGCGGTGGAAGGTTTGTGCACTCTAAAGTATGGTAAGACAGCACTACAGTAACAGACAATAAAGCAGGGAAATGGAAAGGCGGCCTAGGTGCTGGACTGGAAGAATCAGTACCATGAAAATACCCACGTTTAGCCGGGCGTGGTGGCTCACGCCTGTCATCCCAGCACTCGGGAGGCTGAGGCAGGAGGATCGCTGTGAGTTCGAGACCAGCCTGAGCTACAAAGTGAGCTCAAGGCCAGCCTGAGCTGCACAGCGAGACCCTGTCTCAAGAAGACAAAAACAAAATCTTAAAATACCCACGTTCCTCAGAGTTGTCTATGGAATCGATGTGATCCTCTTCCAAATCTCAGTGACATTATTTATAGAAACGGGGGAGGGGTGACAATAAAAACTGTGACCCCACAAAAGATCCCAAGTCCCCAAGCAATCTTGAGCAGAAGAGGCAGGAATCAACCTTTTGATTTAAAAATATTTTGCAAGTCAAGCCTGGTGACACGGGCTTTCAGCCCCAGCGCTGGGAGAGGACGGCGGCAACTGCAGGCCCAGCAGCACCGCGCAGACACTCAGCAGATCCGTCGCGGTGTTAAACATCAAGGACCGGCCCGAGCTCAGTGCGGAGACCGGGGTTCAGTCCACATCCCGCCAGGAGAAAGCTGGCCGTAATTAAAGCAATGCCAAGTATGAGGGTAGACGAAAACCCAGCGGGACAGGAAGTCAGAGGTAAACACACCCGAGTTTGCCAACTACTTAGCTTTTTTTCTTTCCTGCCACTTACAAAATCTATTTTTACCTAAACCCTGCGTAGGGAACAATTGAAACACTTCCCAAAATCTGTATGTTTTCTTCTCCCTGACGCGCCTCTGCTTTTTAGCTTCGTGTGAAGCTGGCTTACTTCATTTGCTTGGGCCGGGAGTTACAGGGCGGTGCGTTGACCGATGAGGCCGTCTCCAGCTCGCCTGCAGCAGCGGGGAATGTTCTAGAGCACGGTGAAGCCGGTGTGTGTCTGTCTTTTGAGCCGTTGCCTGCTTTTGCTCTGGGACCAGGTTTAATGCTGTTCCGCACACGCTTCCATCTTCGTAGTTTATATCTGTGACGTCACTTTGCAAACACCCTAGAGGTTTCCTGGAAAGTTCTGTTTCACAAGCCTGCTGCTGGGACATCTGGCACCCGGAAACCCCTTTTCTGCCGCGGCATCCTTCCCCATTTTTATTTCACTCATTTGAAAAACAAACGCACCTTATATCCTTTGGAACAGTTTTAGATGTCTAAGCAAACTGAGCCGAGAGTGTGGAGAGCTCCTATAAACCCACAGGAACCCGTCCCTGTTCGCCACATCTGCTGTGACTGAGATGATACTGTGCCCCAGAATTCACGTTTGGGACCCCGATACCTTTAGAGCCTTTGGGGGAGTGATCAAATCAAGAGGGCTGCACCCTGATGCACGAGGTGAGAATCCCCGTAAAACACGCTGGGGCCCTGCATCATGCTCCCTGGGAACTGAACGCCAGGTGACAATATTTAAAGTCTTTGAAATGGGACCAGCGGAGTGGACTCCACCGGACACTGCATCTGCCAGCCCACTGATCTTGCACTAGTCTGATGTGTTAGTTGTAACTAAGAAAGCAAAATAAATTCGTTATTAATTCTCTCTCTCTCTCTCTCTCTCTCTCTCTCTCTCTCTGTTTTCTGTTTTTGTTTTCTTTCTTGGGGGGTATCAGGGATTGGACCCACAGCCGCCACACAGAGCTACATCCCCAGCTCTTTTTATCTTGTATTTTGAGGCCGGGCTCACTAGCTAGCACCATCCCCAGGCAGGCGACGGAACAGGCTCCTCCTGCCTCGGGCTCCCGGAGTGCGGGGCTGAGAGGACTTCGTCACGATTTCTAAGTATTTCTACTTTGGTACTTGTTATCCAACGCTGTCCCTTTCCCTTTCCATGACTCTACTTATCGCTTCCCTGAGGTCCTTCCGTAAAACCTGGATTTTAATTTGGTTGGTGCACGGTATCACTGACCTCTCCTCTGGCCCTTTTGTTTTGGACGCAGGGTTTCTCCAGTCCACGAAGCTGCCCAGGCTGATCTGGAATGTGTCACCCCCTCCTTTGAGGGTGGGCTTTCCTCACTCATCAAACACGCATACCGAGGAGAAATTGCAAAATACATTTTTATTTTTTTGCCACTGGGATAGAAATCGTGACCTCACACATGCCCGGGCAGGTGCTTATGCTGCTGAGCTAAATCCTCAGCCCCCAAACACATTTATTTACAGAAAACAGAAACAGCCCAAGCAAGCAGGCGCTGGTCAGGAGCGGACCCACTGGATGCCGAAGAAGGTCTGGTCGGCGTTTGGGGAGGGCAGCAGCGGCAGGGTGAGGTTGGTGCACAGGACGTCCCCGCGGGCCAGCGGCGTCAGGCGCTGGGAGGCCACCGTGCAGCCCCGGCCGAAGCCCAGGCGCAGCAGGCTGATGCTGCGGGTGGCCGAGCAGATGCCCACCGCCAGGGTGGCGTTGTGGTGCCTGACGTCCCTCGCGGAGGAGCACCTGGCCAGGGTCACCTGGATGTGCAGCTGGTAGATGCCGTCGCGGTGGACACGCAGCTGCCCGTCGTCCAGCGCCGGTCCGTGCAGGAAAGAGCGGCCCAAGGATGGGTCCCCCTGCCAGCGCAGCCTGGGGTCCTGCCTGGGACCTGGGGCGGAGGGGCAGAGGATGGGGGGCAGGTCAGGACGCTGGGTGTTCCTGGAGGTGGCCTGACAGGGACAGGGAGGGAGAGGGGCGGGGAGGGATCTAAAGGGAGAGGAACCCTAGCAGCCCTGGGCCAGGCTTGGGATCCCAGGTGCTGGAAGCTGAGGCAGGAGGGTCACACGCTAGAAACCAGCCCAAGCAATTTAGGGACTTGGTAAAGTCTGTCTCCAAATAAGGAGGGCCGGAGAGGTAGCCGAGGGTGCAGGAGACCCGGGGTTCAGTCACTCGGCCAGTAGCAAGGTGGGGCAGGGGACAGGGACACCTGGCCAGAGAAGCACGTGGTGTCCCGGGCGGGCCGTGGAGCTCACTCTGAATGCCCCGTGGACTTTCTGGGTCCCTCTCCCCGTCCGTCCAGGCCCTGGAGGGGAGTCCCTCCAATCCGTGGGTGGAGGCTGCAAGTTGGAGGCCTGGGGGTGCACAGCGCTACCCTACATCTCAAGGACGGTCTCATTTCTCATCAGGAACGGACTAGCGAAAAGAAATAGACCACGTGGCGGGAAGGAAGGAAGCCACCCTCGGGCTACAGTCCTGGATATTTACGTTGCTCTTTCTAAAAAAAAGAATTCAGGTTGCACCCTGCTAATTTGCCTGAGCTGTGCTTGAATTTCAGGTTCTCCCTCTGCAGCCTCTCTGGGCGCTGGGCTTGCACACCCGAGCCACTCTGCCCAGCTCAAGGCCCCGCGCACACACCAGACCCTAACGCTCCCGCACGGTCGCCATCCGGTATCAAAAAAGTAGACGGAGCTCAGCTGAGGGCCGTCTGTCCCCGTGGACCCATTTCCCGGGAGGGGCCGGGCCCAGCTGAGGATGGAGCCCGGCAGACACCGAGCGAGCTGTGGGCCCAGATGTGCTAGCTTCTGCAGACCTTTTGCAGACGGAAAGGGAGAGCGACAGCGACAGGGAGGAAAGAAGCCTCCCTCAGGTGCTGGGACGGGAAGACGGGGGAGCGGAGGAGGGAGCAGGGTCCCCCCAGCGCAGGAGCTGCGGGGCTGAGGCCTTTCTGGAGAGGACGCTGCGAGGGCTGGCCAGCAGGAGGCCCCACCTGGGCTCCTCCACCTGGTGCCGCTCTGGCCAGAGCCCCCCAGTGTTAAGCAGCAGCCCCTCCCTGGTGCCCCGCCTGCCCCAGGCTTAACCTCCTCCCCAGGCTCCCCCTCCGCCTCTTGGGCTTCCTCTGTGAGCAGAGCTGGGGATGGAGCAGAGGCCTGGGGAGCCCCAGCCAAGGCCCGACACCCAGCTCACGCCTCACCCCGGCCGCCTCGGATTAGCTGATCGTCTCCTGGGGGGTTGGGGGTGCAAAGGCCCAGAGGCCTGCTGCTGTACCCATGATGCCTCAGGGCTGACTTGGTGGGTTTTGGTTTTTTGGTTTTTCCAAGGGGGCGAGAAAGTGCAGAAGTGAGAGGGTGGAGGGAGGAGTCCTAGAACAATGGGAAACACACGCAACTGTCCCCGCCAGGCCGTCTTCTGCCCGGACTTTCACCTGAGCTCCCCAGCTCGGGACTGCAGGAGGCTCACACAGAGACCAAAAGCTAAGAGGTTTTTTTTTCTTTTTAAGCAGCTGGGATTGAACCTGGGACCTTTGCACCAAACTTGATCCACGCACGGCCCTTTCTGAGTCCAGGCCTTTCCAGGTTGCCCTGGCTGGGCTGCAAGAGTTGGTGGTTTTGATTCAGCTTCCGGCGGTGCTAGAAATACAGGCTTCTCTCTCTGTCTCTGTCTGTCTGTCTGTCTGTCTCTCTCTCTCACACACACACACATACACACAGGGCACCGCGGAGCCCCTCACCTGTGAGATTCACCTGCAGCTCGGCCACATCTCTCTGCAACAAAACAAAACCAGAACAGGAGAAGGACGTGAGCGGGGTGTGTGCGGGCAGTGTCCCGTAAGCTCCTCTGTCCACCTCTCACCCCGCTGGGGGGAGAACAGAGACCATTTCTGCTCTTTTTCTCCCCCTTGGAGTCCGTGTTGAGGCCCCTAACGAATGCACCCCCCCGGGGTGGGCACCTGCGCACCCCGCGTCTTAACCCGTTTGGTTTTCGCCCTGTGCTCCCCCCTCCTCCCTGCGCTCCCCCCTCCTCCCTGCAGCTCCCCCCTCCTCCCTGTGCTCCCCCCTCCTCCCTGCGCTCCCCCCTCCTCCCTGCAGCTCCCCCCTCCTCCCTGCGCTCCCCCCTCCTCCCTGCAGCTCCCCCCTCCTCCCTGCAGCTCCCCCCTCCTCCCTGCAGCTCCCCCCTCCTCCCTGCGCTCCCCCCTCCTCCCTGCAGCTCCCCCCTCCTCCCTGCAGCTCCCCCCTCCTCCCTGTGCTCCCCCCTCCTCCCTGTGCTCCCCCCTCCTCCCTGCGCTCCCCCCTCCTCCCTGCAGCTCCCCCCTCCTCCCTGCAGCTCCCCCCTCCTCCCTGCAGCTCCCCCCTCCTCCCTGCGCTCCCCCCTCCTCCCTGCAGCTCCCCCCTCCTCCCTGTGCTCCCCCCTCCTCCCTGCAGCTCCCCCCTCCTCCCTGCGCTCCCCCCTCCTCCCTGCAGCTCCCCCCTCCTCCCTGCGCTCCCCCCTCCTCCCTGCAGCTCCCCCCTCCTCCCTGTGCTCCCCCCTCCTCCCTGCAGCTCCCCCCTCCTCCCTGCGCTCCCCCCTCCTCCCTGCAGCTCCCCCCTCCTCCCTGCGCTCCCCCCTCCTCCCTGCAGCTCCCCCCTCCTCCCTGCAGCTCCCCCCTCCTCCCTGTGCTCCCCCCTCCTCCCTGTGCTCCCCCCTCCTCCCTGCGCTCCCCCCTCCTCCCTGCAGCTCCCCCCTCCTCCCTGCAGCTCCCCCCTCCTCCCTGCAGCTCCCCCCTCCTCCCTGCGCTCCCCCCTCCTCCCTGCAGCTCCCCCCTCCTCCCTGTGCTCCCCCCTCCTCCCTGCGCTCCCCCCTCCTCCCTGCGCTCCCCCCTCCTCCCTGCAGCTCCCCCCTCCTCCCGGCCGTCTGTCCTTTTCCGTTTTGTCCCAGATGACTTGTAGTTTGTGTTCCTCGCGCAAGACAAACCCTGTTGGAGTCATGTTCCTAGCTTTCCGGGCTCCGCGTGCGTTTTGTTTTATTATTTACTATGTACTTATGTACTTATTTCTTTATGTGTGAGACCGGGTCTGGCGATGTGCAGCCCAGGCTGGCCTGGAATCCGCGATCTGCCTGCCTCAGCCTCCCGAGTGCCGGGATAACAGGCCTGTGCCACCATATATATATATTTTAAAGAAGTTGCAAACAGAAAGTGGCTCTGACCTGCAGGAGCACCCAGAGGAGACCCCCCACCCCGTCCTGCGACCCGGAGCCCCAGCATCGGGACGGGGCGCCCGCCCGCCCGGACCTTTCCTCCCTGCACCCTGTCGCCCCATCTCCTCCCATCCCTTGGCTCCAGCTGCACCCGCCCGCCCGGTGCGCCCCGTCCGCCCAGGTCCCGGCCCCCCACTCACCCCGGGGTCCAGCGGGCCCGGCTGGCCCGCGCAGCGACGGTCGCAGTGGAAGTAGGAGACCAAGCAGGACACGGAGGTGGCCAGGCAGAGCGCGAGCAGCACCCAGAGCCCGCGCCTGGGCACGGCCCGGGCCAGGCTGGGCACCGCGCAGCGCGAGCCCTCCTCCTCCATGGCCGCGCCGGAGCTGCTGGAGGCTCGCAGAGGCCGGCCGGCCGGGTGGAGCGGGCGGGAGCGGGCAACGCCCCCCGCTCTGCAGCCTGGTGACCGGGGACCTCGCTGGGGATATCCGACCTCTGTCCTCAGAGACCAGCGGGGAAGTCCCCTGCTGGGTTCTCTCATCCACCCTGGCCCAGCAGGCTGGGTGGCTGGGTGGGGTGGACGGGGATTACCTGCCCTGCCCCGTGCCCTCTCCCCCTGCGCAGGGCATTCCCGTCTCCCGTGGCCTCTTGGCGCACGTTCATTCATTCATTCATCAAACCTTGGCTGGGTGTCTACCAGAGACCGGGCACCGCGCTGGGCACCCGGGTGCTGCAAGGGCGTATGCTCGGTCCATCTGCCCGGCCTGGGTCAGGTGGGGCGAGCTGAGCTGGCTGCCAGGCCCGGGGCGCTGGAGGTGGAAGCGTCCCTCCCTGCACGGTGGCTCTCAAGGCGAACAGGACACCACCGTGTGCGGGCTGGAACCTCACGCTGCAGACGCTATTCTGTTAGGATGGATAAAGCTGGACCCTGCGACCAGTGACTGGTGTCCTTCTAAGAGCAGAGAAGCCAGCTGCGGTGGCACAGGCCCGGCCTCCCAGCACTCTGGAGGCTGAGGCAGGGAGATTGCAAGTTCCAGCCTGGCTGGGGAAAGTTAGCAACTTAAAAATCGTGTCAAATAGCCAAGCAGAAGAGCTGGGGATGGAGCTCAGAGCAGAGGCCCTGGATTCGGTTCCAGAGCCACAGAAGGGGGGGGGATTTAATAGGCCCCCAAACGACTCACCCTGACTCTGAAATCCCTCCGTAGACTCCACCGAGGCATCTGACTCTAACGTGAAGGACACTGAAACGGAAAAATGTCCTTTGAAAGTGAAAGAGGCTGATTAGGGAACCAGGAGGGAGGAGAGAGGATGCAAATGGCAAAGTTGGAGCCCACAGGATTGGGCGTGAAAGAAAAAGGGAAATCAACCAGAAGGCCTGGAGTGCAGCCCTATATAATGTTAGTGCTCCTGGAGGCTGAGGCAGGAGGGTCAGCAGCACAAGCCCAGCGTGCATCATTTACCAGCTTAGTGAAAACTCGTCTCAAAATTGAAAACCAAGAAAATGAGCTGGAGATGGAACTCAGTGCAAAGATCCTGGGGTCCGTGCCCAGTACTCCCATCCCCCCTCACAAAAAGAAAAGAAAGTAAATGAAATTCTGCGGACCCAGGTCATCACCATATGGTCCTTGTGACCCTTAGAAGGTACTGGCTTCACCAGAGTCGTAGGATTCCCGCTCTGGGTGTGCAGCTGGCAGCATCCTCCAGAATGACCCTTCGCCCCGAGATATCCCAAGCCTGGAGGGGCGACCTCAGGAACTCTTCCCAGCCTTGTTGATTACTGATGTCCCCGCCACGTCCTGAGGTCTGGCTCCGTCGCTAACCCAAATGTAAAACCTCCCCCCTGTCACTTCCCAAGTCTCTGCAGCCTTCCTGGGATTCGTGCCATCCCTGCCTCCTGGGGAAAATAATTCTGGGACAGTGTTGGCTCTGCAGGACCCACGTGGAGGCCATCTGCAGAGCACCAGGACCTCCTCTCCAGGTTGCCTGGTGACTCGAGCTGGCTGTAAACAGTCAACTTCAGTGTGGTCTGCCCGAGGCTGTGCGGGGTTTTCGTCTGAATGTCAGATGCCCTCAGAAGCCCACTGGTGACCGGGAATGAGGCCAGGCAGAGGGAGACCCCTGGGCACGAGCTCCAAAGGTCCTGGGCTGCCCGGTCTCCCTGCTTCCGGCAATGAAGGAATTCTTTGCATCACCAAAACCGCCACCCTTGATATCTGGCCTGCACCCCAGGCTCGAGGGGATGGATGTGTCCCCGCCTAAAACTATGAGTCTAAACAAAACTATCTCAGGTTTGTGCTACAGCACACACGCATCTGCTGCTGCGGTGGAGGGGAGGGCAGCACCGCAGAGCACTATGCACCCACCGACCAGAGCACGCTCTGTGTGCTGCCTGCCTTCAGGGGGTGCAGAGAAGGGGCCCCTTCTGGTGCGAGGAATGCAGCTAAAATATTAGCTAGAGAACACTCATCAGCATCCATCTCGTCACCCAGGACGGTATCCTCCGTGGTTTCCCAGGGTGAGACCATTCCGGAAGGCTGCCGGATCACTTGGACCTCTGAATCACCTTCAGATTCATCTCGTGACTTTTAGGCACTAGCTAGCTTTCTGTGCAAATTAGTTGATGTCTGGCTCCCTGATTCAGATATATGGAAAGATTTAATAAATGATAACAGCAAGACGTAGGTTTAAGGAAGATAAGCACCTTCTTACCCATCAATAGCAAAGACACTGAAAATCAAAAGTCTCCTTTGATGTCAAAGGTCTTTTTTTTTGGCATACTACGGGTTGGACCGAGGGCTATGGAAGGGCCTTTCTATAAGAAGTGTGTGTAACTCCCCCCAGCAATTCCATAGAAGAAAAGAGTCGTAGAGCTGTCTCTTTCCCTCCCCAACATCTGTTGATGATCCAGGGACTCACACACCGAATCCCCTTTGGACGGGAGCAGATCAGGCAAAGAGCAGAAAATCCATTCTCGTGCAGTTCTGAAATTCCGCTCCACAGATCTTCTAAACACCCCTAAGCACCTCTCCTGGTCCTCGCTTCATTACTGTGTGTGACCATTAGTATTATCACGTGCCAATGATTTTAAATATTTTTTAAAATGTTTTTGATCCCCTTGTGTCTGTCCTGTTCAGACTGACCACAACTCTCTGGTTGCAACTAGGTTCACGACCAGAGAAAGGACTACATTTCCCAGGTTCCCATGCGCGGGTCATGTGACCAAACACGGTCACGTGACTAAGTGCTGGCCAATGGGTTGTGAGTGTGATTGGTTGTGTAACTACTTTCCTCCAAGGGAAGGCAGGTACCTTCCCTTCCCTTTTGACTCTTCTTGGTTCCTGGTGGCACCGTGGTGGACTTTGCACAGAGAAACTCCACACTGGCATATGACAACTTGGAAAAAATTTGGACTCTTGGAGACTTTAAAGGCTAGAAATGATGTGGCAGCCCAGATAGTGTTGTGTCCTGCTTTGATTAACCTTTTGTGAGGGACAGTCCTGGGGACTGAACCCAGGGATTCTGCACTGAGCTGCATTCTCAGCCCTCCTGCCCTGTCATCATTTTGAGGCAGGATCTCTCGGAAGCCTGTTTCCCAGCCCGGCTCACTGCTTCAGCACAGAGGAATTCCCAAGATGGACACGGTAACGTTTTAAAACATGGTGAATGCTTACGTTAAAACCATGACAATAAGTAACATTTAAGGCCTCTCAAAGTGCTCAGACTTGGAGAGAAGGCCAGAATTCCCACGGAGCCCGAGGCGTGGAGTGAGGACACCCAGTCACCACACTGCTGTCCCCGGTCACAGCTCACGGAGGGACACCCAGAGCCTCCTCAGAAGCAGCCAGAAGGGAGCGGTCAGTGTGGTCAGTCTAAACAAGGGCGAGAGTCCCCGAGGAGTCACGCCAACGTGTCATCTACTGTAACACGTTTTTAAAATTTAAACCTTCAGCCAGGAGCGGTGTCATCACCCGCCTGTCCTCCCAGCGCTCGGGAGGCTGAGGCAGGAGGATCGCCATGAATTCCAGAGCAGCCCGGGCTACAAAAGTGAGGGCCGCATAGTCAAACCCTGTCTCAAAAAGACAAATAAGTAACTAAATAAAACAACGTGAACCTTCGCTGAATGTTTCTGTCCCACTTCTCATCCGTGTGTGTCGTGTGAGGAAGCTGAGGTGTTCTGCGGTCGGCAGGCCCCTGTCCCCAAGCCTTCTCGGAATGGCTGCCCTGGGAGCTTCGCGTTAGGCGGAAGGGAAAGCTTTCGGGAGCAAACGCCTACATGGGTCCACACACACGCACACACACTTCGTTAATGCTCTGTCCTGCGTCTTCTAGAGGACCTACTGGGGGATAGAAGACAGCTTACTGTAGCCATTCCACAGAAAAGTATAATCTGCTCGTGGTTTTTATTTATTGTTTTATTTTATCTTATATTTGTTAGGGATTTAATCAGGGCATTTGCACGACCGGCTCGTTTTCTTTTTCTGTTGAAACATGAGCCCTCCCACTCGCCCGGGCTGTGCTCAGACTTGCAATCCTCTTGCCTCAGGCTTCGAGAATGCTAGGACTGTGAGTCTGTGTCACCGCGCCCAGTTCCCGGGGCCGTGTTTTTCTTTGGTAATAGCCGTCCAGCCAGCTTTGAGGTGCTAACGCATGGTGGTTTTGATTTTCATTTCCCTAAAAGCTAATAATTTCACACATTTTTATGTAAACCATCTGCATGTCTGCTTTTGAAAAAGGTCTGCTAAGATCATTTGCCCATTTTGTTTTTAAGTTGGATCCTTTCTTTCGATATTGGCTAATGTGAATTCCGTACATAGTTTGGCTATGAATCCCATATGGATGTGGATTTCTTTCTCCTGTCTCATAGGATGCCGATTTGTCTCTCTGCCAAACAGAAGTTTTTAGTTTATTACAACCCCACTTGATAGCTTTGTTTCTGTTGTCTATGCTTTTGTTGTTAAATCCAAAAAAACAGAGACAAGTGTCAAGGTTTCCCCTGTCTTTTATCCTATGAGTGTTGCTGACTTTGAGTTTGCTTTGTTTTGTCTGGTTTTAGACAGTCTCCCTGTGTGGCCCAGCCCAGCTTGAATCCCTCCTGCCTTCTCCAGCCGTGGTCTCTCCCAGAGCAGGGAACACAGGCGTCCGTCACCGCGCCTGATTGAGTTTATTCTTGTATACAGTCTGAGATGCGGATTCGTCAGGACTGTGAGTTTTCTCAGCACCTTTTAACGAAGACAGCTTCCTTTCTCCAGTGTATGTTCGGACTGCCTTTGTCAAAAATCAGATGACCAAAAATACGTGGATTTCTTTGTGGGTTCCGTCTTCTGTCCCATTGATTCACATGTCTGTTTTTATGCAGGTAGCACAGTGTTTTGATTATAGTAGCTCTGTAATATGTTTTGAAACAGGAATGTGGTGCCTTCTGCTTTGTGGTAGTTGCTCAGGGTCTTTGTGATTCCCCATGAATCTTAGGATTGTTTTTTCTGTTTCTGAAAATGCCCCTGGAATTTTCGCAGGGGAGAGTTGAGCCTACAGATTGAATTTGTGGGCTGAATCTGTAGATTACTCTGTGTGCAATTAGCATTCTGATAACATTCATTCCTCCATGATGTAACCAAGGAAAGGCCTGTACAATGAAAATGACAGTGCTCAAAAAGAGCACCAGAAAATGAAACGGTGTCCCTCGTACCTGGATCGGCAGGTATGACATATTCAAAATGACATACTTCCAAAACCGAGACACAGATTTAATGGAATCCCAATCCAAATATCAAGAGCATTCCACACAAACTAGAAAAAAAATCAATTCTAAGATTCATGTAAAATAGAGGAGACTCAGAATAACAAAAGCAATCTGAGTAACCAAAACAAAGCAGGACACATCACAGTCTCAGGTTTCAAGTTATATTACAAAGCTTCTGTGATACAAACTGCATGGCACCAGCAGAAAAAAATTGCCAGTGATTCCTTAGGGAGGATAATACCTAGAATATACGAGGAACCCCAAAATATTAGACCCTCCACCAAATAAGATCCAAAACGGGCAAGTGAAATGAAGGCCTCACCGAAGAAGTACAAACCGTTAGGGAAATGCACATTAAAACAGCTCTAATTTCCATCTTACTCCATACGAAATTAACTACCATCGAGGGGTCAGTTAACAAACGCCGGGGAGGCGTCTGAGTAAAAAGAACCCTCTACATTACGGTGAGGGCATAAGCTAGGCG